AGAATTGGGCAGGTCTGCCCCACTCTGCGGCCATTATGCGGTATGCAGACCTGTTCTGTGGTTACATAATGCGCCACAGAACCTCCCTCCGAAAAAATTTCCATGCTAGATCTGCGATCGGTGTGCGGCTCAAAAAATTATTTTGCAGTCACATAATTGGCCGCGAAATGACATCCAAAAGTTGTCCAGTTGACTGCCTCACTCTGCGGCCATTCTGCGGCCCGCAAATCAATTCTGTAGTCGTATAGTGGGCCGCAAAAATGTCCTTTTCTGCCGAGCATTTTCTTTAAGCTCCTCGGCGTACAGTTCGACCAAAAAGTACGTACAGCGGCGAGCTTGTGAGTCGCGAAGAATCTCTACTATCATTAACACATACGCCTACCTCGGTACCACAAAAACCTGGGTTTTTAGGTAAAATTTTACGGGGCCTTACAGCGTGCCTTCCTCTTCCCGTACTAGAACTCCGCTTACCATTATCTTGGATATCACTAAGTACAGGTACAACTGCTCATCTGCCTTCAGAGTATGAAGCAAAGGCGGGCTCAAAAGGTACCGCTTGATTTCTTCCAATGCTTGTTGGCACTCTGGGGTCCATGAGAAGTTATTCTTCTTCTTCAATAATAAGAAGAACTGATGGCTCTTGTCGGAGGACCTTGAAATGAATCGACCTAAGGCAGCTATGCACTTGGTTAGCCTTTGAATGGCCTTGACATTGTTAACTACGGTAATGTCCTATATGGCCTTAATCTTGTCGGGATTGATCTCGATCCCCCGGTTAGACACCATGAATCCATGGAACTTCCCGGACTAGACTCCGAATGCGCATTTCTCTGGGTTCAGCTTCATATTATATTCCTTCAATATGTTGAAGGTTTCCTGCAAATGTTTCAAATGGTCCTCTACTCGTATGGACTTAACTAACATGTTGTCAATGTAAACCTTCATTGATTTTCCTATTTGCTCTTCGAACATCCGATTTACTAGGCGTTGGTAAGTGGCACTGACATTTTTTAGTCCGAATGGAATTATGTTATAATATTAGGTAACGTATTTAGTGATGAAGAAATTTTTTTCTGATTGCCCGGGTCCATCCGGATTTGGTTGTACCCGAAATAGGCATCGAGAAAGATGAGGATCTCGTGGATGCCATTGCATCGATCATGTGATCGATGTTGGGCAGAGGAAAAGAGTCCTTGGGGCGTGCCTTGTTCAAGCCTTTGTAATCTACATACATTCTTAATTTATTTCCCTTTTTAGGGACTACTACTATGTTTGCTAACCAATCCAGGTACTTAAATTCCCGAATGGAACCTATTTTAAGGAGTTTAGATACCTCGTCTTTGGTGAATGCATGCTTAACTTCAAGCTGAGGCCTCATCTTCTGTTTAACTAGGTGAAACATCGGATCCAAGCTCAGTTTGTGAGTAGTTATTTCCGGTGGGATCCCTGTCATGTCAATATTGGACCAAGCTAGACAATCTATGTTAGCTATAAGGAATTTAATGAGTTTTTTCCTGAGCATGGGACTTAACCTCGTGCCCAGGCATACCTTTTGATTGGTTAGGTGCTCGATCAATATAACTTGCTCCAACTCCTCGACCGTTGACTTTGTGGCATCAAAGTCGTTAGGGGCTATGAAAGACTTAGGAACTCTGTAGTCGTCATCCTCGCCCATCCCCTACTTTTCTGGTTCGGTCGGGCTGGTGTCGCTGATTTCTATTTGGTTTCTTCCTTGGTGAATGAACTCGGGTTCTTTGATGTCGAGAGTGCGCATATCGAGACCACCTCATCATTTGTGAACATCTCTTTTACGGCTGGTTGCTCTTCATAAACTATTTTAATTCCCCATGGTGTGAGGAATTTCAATGCCTAGTGTAGTGTTGAGGGTACTTCCCTCATGTTGTGGATCCATGGCCTCTCGAACAGATCGTTGTATCTCATATTTCCTTCTATCATGTAGAACCTTGTTTTACAACCCAACTATTCAACAACCCTCGATCTGATGATATTGACCGAGCTACCTATATCAATTAACACACGCTTAACTCGAGATTTATTTATGAGTAGAGATATTACCAGTGCTCATTGTGTGGTTGCACGATGCCTTCGGCATCCTCATCGCTGAAAGATATGGTTCCTTCCGGGACATAGTCTAAAGTCTGTTTCTCCCTTGTGATAGATACTTTGGTGTGCTTTAACATCTACCCATGGGGGACGTCGACCCTACCAATGATCATGTTAATGACGTGCTGAGGTTTATCCTGCTCGATTTCCTTATTGGAGTCCCTATTCCTGAAGTGATTTTTGGCTCAATCACTCAGAAACTCTCGGAGGTGTCCGTTGTTGAATAATCGGGCTACTTCCTCTCTCAGTTGTTGGCAATCTTCAGTTATGTGGCCATGAGTGCCATGATATTTACACATTAGGTTGGGGTCCCTTTTGGGCAGGGTCGGATTGTAAAGGTCGCAGCCATTTGGTGTCTTTGATATGTCTGATGGCTGATACGATAGCCGCAACGTCGACTCTGAAGTTGTACTCTGATAACTTTGGCACTTCTTTAGGCCCGATGGGTCTTTCAAAACTGCTTTTGCTCATGAGTCCCGGTTATTATGACCTCGATCGCTTATTCTTTCACTTCTCATAGGGTTTTGTCCAGACTCATTACCCATTCGATCTCTATTGTATGGTTGATACCGGTCTCTATTCGATCTTAGTTCACGATCAATGTCTCTTTTGGATCTGTCGCTAGTACTGACGGGATAAATGGACCCGAAAGGGGCCCCGATCTGATCATCTTCGATCCTGATTTTTTATTGGTACCGGTTATGGACGTCGGCCCAAGTTACCGCCAGGTATTCTATCATATTTTGCTTCAACTATTGTGAAGCTAATGAGCTTCGAGTATTGAGTCCTTGGGTGAAGGCTTGAACGGCCGCAGGTCCATTCGTTCCATTTGAAACTGGGACATGAATTCCCTGAGCATCTCGTTATCTCTTTGCTTCACTTTGAAAAGGTTCGACTTCCTGGTCTCGAACTTGATAGCCCCGGCGCGCGCTTTCACAAAGGCATCTGCAAGCATAGCAAACGAGTTAATAGAATTAAGAGGTAAGTTGTGATATCATATCATAGCTCCTTTTGACAAGTTCTCTTCGAACTTTTTCAGCAGGACAGACTCGATCTCATCATCTTCCAAGTAGTTCATCTTGATGGCGCACGTGTAGGAGGTCATATGTTCATTTGGATTAGTTGTTCCGTTGTACTTCGGAATTTTGGGCATGCAGAACTTCTTTGGGATTGGCTTCGGAGCTGCCCTCAGAGGGAAAGGTTTTTGAACAAATTTCTTGGAACCAAGGTCCTTCAATATCGGTGGTGCTCTTGGGATTTGGTCGACCCTAAAATTGTAGGTTTCTACTTTTTTATCACTGGCTTCAAATTTTTTTCTCCCGATTCCACCTGTTTTGGTAAGTTCCTCAAGCATCTTTATTATCTCAGGGTTGACCCCGGGATCTACTTCACCCCGCCTTTCTGTGGCCGGTTCATTTCTACGGGCGTTTTCCTAGGATGATTCGGGCTCAACTTTGCTGGGAGCGCGACTTTGGTTTTGCTACTGGGCAATCGTTGCTTGTTGAGCCTGTAACATCTTGAAGATCACGTGCGAGTTGTTCCTGTCACCTTCGTCGTCGTGTGTACTTCGGGCCATCGACCGAGCTCCCCCATGAATGCTATTTTCGGGGTCAGTAGACAAGTTTGCTTCGCTAGCCACGTGGGAGTTAGCGTCGATCGAATCAACAGTTGGGACTCAATTGGGGTCATCAGGGGGCACCTCGGTGTTGGGTACCACGTTGTTGTTCTCGCCATGGTGATCAGACTCAGCATCCACGTTCAAATGTGCAGATTGGGAGTTCGACATTTTAAATTCTAACATGAAATTAAAAGCTCAAAGAATAAGTGTAAATTAGAGTGTGTTATGAAAATTTATATCAAATTGCCGCTATTATCCTCAGCCCCATGGTGAGCGCCAAACTGTGTACCCTAAAAAACGGATAACAATTAAATTTGTAAGCGTTTTAAGGATATGCGGTTTAATTAAATACAAACGATAAATGGTGTTAGATTAAACAGATAAGAACGTAATAAATTATCAAACCACTTATGGGGGCTGATTCCGGACTCAACAATAGCCTTAATGAAATATCTTCTCTCGATCTCGAACTCACAATAACGAAGCATAGATGAACAAGATTAAGAACTTTGAATAATAGAGAAAATAAGAGTGTATTGCCTTGATATGCGTGTTATAATATTTTTAATGAATAATCAGACACCCTTTTATATTGTGGGAGTTCTATTCTAAGTACAATTCCATAAAAGGTAAAAGTTTTCTATTTAACTAATCACCGGTTCTCTGCCAATACGTGCCGAAATTCATGCCGTGATATCCGGCCGGTCGCGGATATCACGGCCTTTTGTTGATCGTGCTCCATTGTCTGGTAATGTTCTCCAAGGCCTTTGGGGTTTGAACCGGACCTGCGGGCGATGGCCCCGATACTCCCGAGGGCAGGTGTTTAGCCTGGACCTCAGATCGAGGGGCTCTTTGTCTCGATTCCGGTTCCTTGCCTTTACTTCTCTTGCTCCGTTTATTTTATCGTAAATCGAGGCGTCTCATGGGCTCGATTTTACTCGTATACAAGTATGTCTCGCTATCTCACATGCCAATTATCTAAAAACAGAAGGAAGAAAACCTCTCCAAATCACTCTTTTTGGTATAATATATATAGAATCCATTTGATCTAACTAATTTAGATTTGAGCGGCATAAAGTTAAATTAAGAAAAAGGTGCTCTTAGCAGAATGTTTTTATTCAAAGCATTAAGAGGGGAGGAACTCATTGATCCCATCACGCCCCTTGGTGTTCTCCAAATCACTCCACCTGGAAGAGGCTTAGTAAACGATAAAACCAAAGACAAACTGAAAATCAGAAACAGCAGAGGCGTAAAGTTAAGGCAGTAAGGCACCTTCCTTCATTTGTCGTTTTTGAACTCTCTAGTTTTACTTACACGTTACATCGCCCTACTCTTTTTCTTGCAAAGTGCATTTTCATTATTTTTTTTTCAACACACACACAGAGCATGTAGTAATACTTTGTCGATCTAGAGCCCACACCACATAATCTAGTTGGCAGCAATGAGCTTTGAAGATCTTGAATCTTCAGGCAGGTGTCTATATGTTCAAGGAGGAGGTGGATCATATTCATGGGGACGACAAACAAAACAAACCATCACAATCCCCTGCGCTTCTGATCATCAGCAGTCCATAGTAGCTTCTTTAGTGTTTCAAATCAACACGAGTCTCACAACTTTTCAACGCCTCGTTAATACACTTGGATCTCCCAAGGACACTCTTCATTTCCGCCAAAAGCTGTTAAGACTTGTATTCTTTAATTTGTTCTCACTCACAGAACACAGGGATTAACCTCTCAGTGGCATTACGCTGCTACTACTACTACTCACAGGCTGCTTTATTTGTTGATTTTTCTGCAGCCACGGAAAAAGGCAGAAAATTGGCGAATTGATAAAAGAAACTTCAGCTAAGCTTAAGCAAGCCATTGAATCTGACCAACATTCTCAATCTAGTGTATGTCCATTTTGGCTGTTTCTACTTTCATTTTTCAATTTTGGGTTAAGAACAGAAAAATGCATCCAAGGATGTTATATGCATATGGACAATTGAGTCCAACCAGAACTGCTACTGCTTTCAACTCGACCTCTATATTTAGTCCAAATTTGTCAGAAAAATATACTCCATGTTTATACTACTAGCATGTTTGGCTAAGTTTCTTTAAGGCCAAAAACACCTTTTTTTCAAACTTGAAGTGTTTGGCCAAGTTTTTAGATGAAAAAAAATGCTTTTGCATAGAAGCAAAAGAAGTTTTGGAGAAGCATAAAAAATAGCTTCTCCCTAGAAACACTTTTTTGAAAAGCACTTTCGAGAAAAAATATACTTAGAAACACTTTTTAAACGTTTGGTCAAAATCTAGATTGCTGCTCAGAAGTGCTTTTCAAATTAATTAATTAGTCAAACACAAATTATTTCTCACCAAAAGTATTTTTAAAAAAACACTTATAAGAAAAAACATTTCTCAAAATAAGCTGAATTTAAAAGTTTGGCCAAACAAGCTACTATAAGTTAACTGTCAAAAGAGAGTGGTTGATGCATTTTTCCTGAACCCGCGCCTGTCTTTGGGAATATAAGGTTCTGTGTTTTCTTTTTACTTCAGGCCACCAGGAAGATTGCTAATGGTAAGCTTGCTAAGGATTTCCAATCTGTTGTTAAAAAATTTCAGAAGTCACAGCAACTTGCAGCACAGAGAGAAGCAGCTTACACTCCTTTCATTTCCCCCGAAATCAATCCATCCCGGTAACAATTCCTAATGATTCTTCTTTGTATGTCATCTTGCATTCTTAGAATTCTGCATGGCCGATGCTTCAAAAAGCAGTCAAACTTGAAATTCCACTCCCCTTTAGCCTGTACACTAGTTATAAAAAACATTGATAAGGATCAAACAATGATGTTAGTACTATTTATTCAGTTATACCATCATCCCCCAATTTCTCTTATCCTGACATCTTACATTTGCATTTTGCAGAAGTCAAGAGCTTCAGATAAGTTCATCAGCTAGGCCGGAGAGCCGTTCTGTTATCCTTCTGGAATCCAAAAGGTTAGGAGGCAGTTAAGCGCGCATTGTTTTCAGTTCTGTTGGTTGATCATGCATGTTAAGAAACTACTGTTTCAGCACCCATGCATGTTTCAGTATGGCAAAGCGAGTTGTTTTCACTCGTATAATTTTGATACTGAATTCCCCATTCTAATAAAAACTCCTTCCCTTTATCCAAATTTTGGCGGATCAAAAAAGGATGAAAGTAAATTCAATTATCTTATACAAATGAATTTCATAAAAATTATACATCATTTGTTTATAGTGGAACCTGGCCTTTTCCCTTTACTACAGACAGGAGCTCGTACACTTGGAACATGAGATTCTTTTAAATGAAGCCATTATTGAAGAAAGAGAGCAAGGAATAATGGAAATCCAACAGCAGATTGGAGAAGTGAATGAGATGTTCAAGGATTTGGCGTTAATGGTCCATGAACAAGGAATTATGCTCGGTTAGCCAATATCTCTATTCCATTCTTCATCCTCGTCCTTATTACTAAAAAATTGCCAGCTATGTCTTATCTTATTAATTAATGGATCTAACATCCTAAACCCTAAATCCATCTTGTAGATGATATCAGTTCCAATATTCAGAGTTCGCATGATGCAACTACACAAGCTGCTCAGCAACTCACCAAGGCATCGAAAATCCAACAATGTAATTCGTCTATGGTAAGTGTCTATATTGCAGCTAGTCCTAAGCTATTTAGCTGATGCCTTGCCTTCAGCTTCGGAAATTTTGCTTTGCAGAGCTGTTTGTTGGTGGTGATAATTGGGGTCATCCTGCTTATTATAATCGTACTGGTGCTAGCATAAAGGATTTTCCATTAATGTAGTAGAGCAGCTTTTTCATCTCATTAGTGTATGAAGGGGTTCCGATGGGCATGTACATCCTCTCAAGCTACACATGTACGGTAAAACAAATTTATAGACTTTTGGACACTCTCCATTCACCCACTTTCATTTGTTTCAGTTATCCAGATACAGTCGTAAATTGGTATTTGAGAATCACATTAGTTCTTAATACTTCAGAGAGATAGTGAGCAAGAGCTTAGTTCACCCGACTGACTTTTTTATTTTTTATTTTATTTATCAAATAGATACTTACAGGAGGTAGTTAGGTAGGTGAATACCATCGATCATATCCTCCAAGTCCGTCCTTAGTCCCTTAACTCTTGCATCACCAAGCCTCGTTGACTTTGTTTGGACCTCCCAAGACTTGTGGCTCTTGTCTCATTTACCTTGCCAATAAGTCCAAATATTTATTGTTTGAGCTTCACCTAATTCAACGATGGCAAAAACCAATTGATTCAACATAAGACATACCAACGTCTAAGGAAAGGCAGGGAAAACCAAATACTTATTGGAATTGATCCTTTCTAATCGCATTCAGACGAGAAAACTGAGATCCATCACAACTGATTCTGTTACCACAGTGGATATTTAGTCTTCCATCAAACATTATGTAGCTCTCTGTCTATCCCAGCTAAAAACCTTTTTACCACAAACATGTTAAAGCGGCGTTTCAGCTTAATGTGCTTGATCAGTACCACACTGACGGGGATCTAACTTTTCATTAGTCGCCTTCTGGCCAAGCAACCTTTTGCCCAACACACTTGTAAGCCCACCACTCCCTCCCTCCAACGAAAAAGTAAAATAAAAATAAAAACCAAAGTTTTCAAATTAAAAGAAAGAATTTGATAAGAAAATTAGGACCAGTTGAACTCGAACAACTTGACTGAGAGGAAAAGAAACCAAAAGTTATTCTCATTTAGAAATCCATACGGCACGATAGAGCTGAACCAACTTTTCACTGGATATACCTCTATTCAATTGTCACGAACTGAGAAGTGAGAACTAAGGAAAAGTTGGACACACAACCATAGACAAACCTTTTAACACGCGCAAAGTAAGCTACTTCCTTTATTTCTCATAAAATAACAGATAGCAATGAGAAATCTAACCAAATAGATGGCTGCAAACGATAAACGACCATACTTTCGGATGTTCCGCGCGACCAACAGTGATCTGATAACAAGTGGAAAGGAAAAAATGTCCGCGACTGATAAGCTCATCATATCTGCAACTTTATGATATCGTAATTTCCTGAAAGTTAATGCCTACATCTCCATCAAATCCCTGCTGTCATTCCATTATGATAAAAAGAATTGATATATAGACTTATAGAATGATGATAAGTATAATTAAATATGCTCGAAGTGTTGGAATCAAAATGCATCAAGCAGATAACATTTTTTTCTACTCAAAACTTCATCAATGGTGAAGACCAGTCTCTCGGAAAACCTTGATGCTGTCTACCAGTACAGAACATCAACCTGACAAAAACCATACAAACACAATGAACAACTTAAAGCCCTCACTCTCTTCAAGCTTACCACTGGTTTTAGCAGCTGTGCTCAAAGCAAAATTACAATATTACAAAGATTAAAACATACGGGTAACACTAAACCGAAGAATAGAAGGCCCTATAAGGAATTGGAGAAATACTGAAACCCGACTCACCTCGAGTCAGTCAGACATCCATATAATGCAGAATGCGGATATAAGAAGGAAAGTGAAAATTCCTCTTTGTTGAGTTATGCGTGCAAATATTTTTGGCATATGCCAGAATTGGAAAACTTTGGTCTTAAAATGCCATATCTGTATGAAGATCAAAATAAAAATTTAAAAGAAACCACAAGAGTTTTGAAACAATTTGTCAAAGCATAAGCTCATCATAGTGAATAAGTAACGAAAATTCTACCTTTGATGTATTCGGCATTCAAATAAAATTCTCGATTCCATCCACTGCCTGATGCAAGGAGCCCCATCTGTTAAGTAAGATAACTCATATGCTTCTTTTTATCAAAAGCACTCTCTTGAATTCCTGGAACATCCTCTTCCTTCGCTAAACCATCTCCTAATGCTAGGGAACCAATCTCATGCTTATCCCCAGTGAGAGGGCTTGCCGAAAGAATCTGATCCCAGAAAATGTCATTAATGCCTGGAAGCTTAGACATCTCGTCCAAAAAGATATCAATATCAGTATCTGTGGAATATCTATCAGGGACAATTGATGTTACACCATCCACAATGCCTTGCATTCTGTCAATGTCTGGCAAATCCCCAGTTCCCAACCGCTTAAGGTCAGTTATTCCAAAATTGTCCAGTGTATTTATCCCATATCCTTCTGAAACTTCAGGCAGAACATGGTCTGTCTGAAAGTTAAGTGCATTTAAACCAGGAAAGTGAGGGACTTTGGCTTCCCAGGGAACCAGACTAGGGGAATATTGGATCTCAGGAATGGCAGATAAATTAGAGTTGAATGGAAATCCTGAATCCGCCGTCAGATGAGATTGTGACGTAGTTGGCAGTTGTGGAAGGGTAACCCCAGAAATACGACTGCATATACCAGCACTGTCTAATGTATTTTCGAAAGCATGGCCATGATTAGTCAAGACACCATTTGTATTCTTAACTTTGGTTTCCAGCCTACCAGATGCATTAGTTTTCAGGATCTTCTGCAGCAATGCTTTTGCTGCCTCATTCATTAAAGGCTGGTAACGGACTATCTGCCTGTCATGCATAGTACTGACAGGCTTGCCTGCATAAATTTCTTCTTCCTGGTTGGGAAATCTCCTCTTCTTTTTCATCCCAGGAATGCGCCTGTTTCCTTCATTCTGTTGATGAATAAGTTCGGCTATAAAGCCAGGGCTCTGCAAGGCCTTAGCAAGGAATGACATGGTTTGCTGTTGTCTTTGTTCCATCAAATGAAGACGCTGCCCAACATTCTCTAAGCAGTGGTCTGTTGCCTGCTGCTGCTGTTTCAACTTGACTAGCTCCTCCATATGAACATTTTTATCTCTTTTAAGCCTTTCCACCTCTTCTTCTATTCCAAACTTCCCAACTTCAACACAAGACTCAGTAGATACACTTTGCACTTGGGAGGTGGTGTCCTGATGGACCTGCATTTGAGACGGTTTTCGCCTACTTATGGTCTTCAAGAGGTGTTTGTGGCCTCTAAGGAATCCCTCGTTTGCAAATTCCCAGCAGTCTGGATCAACCTTCCTGTAACCCTGGTTGACGAAAGGGCAGAGCAAATTGTAAAAAGGATTAAGGTTGCCCAATATATACAAAGAGTACTTATAACCAAAACACAGAGATAACAGCGAGTGACAAGACTGTATTAACTGCAATACACAAGAAAACTATTCCCTCATCGTAATTAAAAGAGACTCCCATCTCCCATCATCGATTTATTGCTTTGAACCATGAAACATGGAGAAAATGGTTAAAATGTCACATAGTTACACTACATGTGATGCCTTGAAATCAGTTATTCTGCAGACATGATAAGCAATGATCAGAATGCTAGGATTAGAGATTGTTAGGTACAGAATCATATGACAAACAAATAAGAGGAGGTTAGTGGGTGGCAAACGGGATTGAGCGGGAGAGCAAGATTAGCGAGTGGGTAAGGCGTCCCTTTATTGTGGGTCAACTTCTATACCATGGTGGGACAGTAGGTGGCGAGACCTGGGGGGGTTAATGTGTGACGGACAGGATAGAGGGGAGAGATAGAAATATCAAAGGGGAAAAAAGCAACCCTTTACCTCATGGCACACTTTTTGACCCACCTTCACTGTGGAATACAGTTATACCATGAGAACGAATTATAAGCCCCAAAACCAAGCTTCCCAAAACACACCAAAAACTGAAATTACCGTTTGTTTTCCTATAATTTAAAACAAACACTGCCCCTAAACATAAACTTCTGGGAGATTAAATCAGGTTTATCAACTCTACAACTGCTTCTCGAATTAAAGTAACAGTCATCAATTTGCTATGCACCTGATGAGACCCTACCAAATAATTTACTACTAAAAGGGGAATAAGCTTTCAAATTAAAGTATCAACTGATATTTCAGCACCTAAGACAACTTCTGATTTGATTTAAACAAGTGTGTGGCTTGTGCAGATGGGATCAGAGAGCTTCTCATTAACTCGTAATAAAAACTCAAACTGTCAAACTGAATTGAAGTGAGGACAAGTACCCCATAGAACTGATCCAAAAATAATGTACTAAATCAGATGAAACTTCATATTATATTCCAATTAGATAGGAAGTTTTGCCTATTTGCTGAAGTTTGCTGCATCTTTCCAACTGAATGTACTACTTATATATAATCAATTTCAAATAGAATATAATTTTTTTAGAAGAGGATATAAAAGAAAAATAGAAAACAAATAAGCGTATATCATAGTGACAGCTAGAAACACAAGCGACCTAAGTAAAAACATTTAAAACAATGAGCAGAGAAAATCGATACATACTCAGAAACATAACGATATTTTTAAAAAAAGAAAAATTACGCATCAATCTAATGTGCCTCAATCCAAATTGGCGAATTTCAGAAACAAAATCAATATTATAAGAAATGCCTTTCTTTTAGGGTTTAAGCAAATTGTTACAGACACCAACCTCACAAGCAAAAGCATAAACCAAAATAGTGGAATAAAGAGCGAGGAAACAAAGAGGAATTTTAGTACTTACATAAGTATTCAACTGCCTAACAAAGCTGGAGAAATTATTGTGCTTAAAATACTTGGGCAAAATATCTCTCGAAAACTCCAGCACGTTCCAGACGACGAAGCTGTTATTACTCTTACTCCACGACACCACTGAATCCGTCGACAAATCGTCCACCATATCATACGTCTTGCACAGAAAAGGCGGTGGCGAATTTCCTATCTCATGAATTGCTTCCATTTTTGGCCCCTCAAAATCGGACGCCGATCTTCTGAAAGTACTCTGGGATTCTATAAAGACGGAAGCAGAAATTACGCACGAGACACTAGAAAATTTTGAGGAGGCGGTGAGAGAATATATTATTGGGAAAAGGCTGATGAAGAGACAGAATCAGACTCAAAGAATAAATGTACCATTTGACAAAAAAAAAAAAACAAATCCCATAAATAAATATATGTACCAACTGTGCCCATAAATATATTGGGATTCTACTATAGCAGCGCAGATAGCAAGGGTCAGTTTTGTTTGCAAGCAATTTTTCCAGAGTTAAGTAAGTAATAAATTACGCTTTAATAATGTAATATAAAATTAATGACATAAATTATTATTTTCTCAATTACTGATTGGTATTAAAATTAGTATATAATGTATAATTCGAAAATATGTTTTTATTAGTTTTTAAATAGAATAAAAAGTTTGTTAATTTTTATTACAAGGATTAGCTTTTTAATTTTAGTTGTTTTAATCTGTGTATTGTTAATTGTTACAAGGATTAGTTTTGTAATTTTAGTTGTTTTCATCTGTGTATTTCCAATACTCTCATTTTTATTTAGTGTTTCATCTAGCATAAAATAAGTATAGAATTTTCTCCATAACAACAACATAAACGGTAATTTTAAAATGTGGATCTGGGAAGGATAGTGTGCGCAAACCTTGCCCTTACTTTGTGCGGGTAGAGAACTTGTTTCCAATAGACCTTTGATTCAGGAAAGCACACTCACAGCAGTAAAGCAAATTGAAATATAAAAATAGTAGAGAGAGTCGTAAGAAAAGAAATAGTAACAACAGTGAAATAGTAACAAATCGAAGCAAAATCAACATTAGATAATACTAGAAATCCATGAAAAGGATAAACACAAGAGTAATACTATAGCTACCGGAATGGAAGGAAAGTACACTCTAATACTACTAAATTTCTACTCTAATTCTCGACCTCCACGACCTCCTATCAAGAGTCATGTCCTCAGTCAGTTGAAGATGTGTCATGTACTGCCTAATCAACTCTCCCCTAATCTTCTTTGGCCTTCCTCTACCTCTTCTCGGGCCCATGGTGTTTAACCTCTCACACCTCCTCACAAGGGCATTTGGGCATCTCATTTTCACATGTACGAATCATCTCAACCTTACTTCCTGTATCTTATCCTCAACGGGGGCTATCCTAACTTTGTCCGGAATAACTTTTTTGCTGACCCTATCTCTCTTAGTATGCCCACACATCTATTTCATCATCCTCATCTTCACTACTTTTAACTTCTAAACCTGAGAGTTCTTGACTAGCTAACACTGCAACCTATATAACATAGTGAGCCTAACCACCACACTACAGAACTTATCAAGTCTTGGTGGCACAATTTTATCACACAAGACACCGAAAGCAAAACCTCCATTTTATCTACTCTTCCCCAATACGATATGCAATATTCTCGTTAATCTCTCTGTTATTCTGTGTCAAGACCCCAAATTCCTACCTTTAAATGTCAGTGATGGCACCTAGTCTCTAAGACTAGGTAAGCCACGTATTATGACCGCATTTACCAATACAAAGAGGTGTTAAACTTAAAACTTCAAGTACTTCTTAAACGGACTAAAAAAGAACCGAATCGGTTTTTTGATTTTCTTCAAATAAAAAGAGGTTTAAAACCATCTGTTGTAAATTTTATATAAGAAATAAAAAGACAAAACTTAACCTAAAAATAATATATGTATAAAGATATTATCTTATATAAGTTAAACATACAAAGTTTAGTTTTTCTGAATTGTATACGGTCAAAATAGGGCTGGACCTTTTTGTGCGATTGATCGAGGCTGAAACATGATAAGTCAAGGATCGGCTTCGATTTATATCGAACTATGGTGCAGAGTTAGGTTGTCAAGCTCGAGACCCTGAGACCGATTAAGCTCGATGTCACGCCCTGAACCTGGGGAGGCGTGGCTGGAACCCGGTGCCACACTGGCCCGAGCGAACCACTCTGTAACTCATGATCGTTTGACCAAAACTAGAACGTACATAGGTCGAATTAGATGGACTCTTTCCTTTTGTAACTATCATGGGCCAACATGGCCACAACTCGTAATGCATAACTATAAGTGGGCAACACTGTATCACAGAATCATATTTCTTAAAACATAAATACATATGGGTCGTCAAGGCCTCTGACATACTGTACCAAATGAACCTCTGTCTACAAAGCCTCTAAGATTATTTGACATAAAATGGGACAGGGTACCGGCCTACCCATAAGTTTGTAGAAAAACTCTGACACGATGACTTATAGACTCGGATGCACTCCGAATGAGGTGGAGTCTTACCGATCCTTCGTTGAATACCAATCTCGTCTACTATGAGGGTTCGTCAAACCGTTTATCTATACATGTAAGTCTGGATAGTTCTATAAATCATGAAATATTTATAACGTCATGCATATAAATATCATGTAATGCATAGGTCTGTACGTACATAACATCATCAAGCCTCTGAGAGCATCACATCATATCATCTCGGCCACTGTGGGCAAATCATCAACATATACCAGCTGATCAGGTGGTGGTGCGTATATAACGTCATAACCTTTTCGCATATCCCATATACATACATATATACACGTATATAACGCCATCTAGTCATGGGTCAATGTAAATGAATGCAATGCATGATAAGTACGTCTATAAAATCTTTCGGAGTGTCATAAGACCATTATGTCTCTGATTAATATAATGAAATAGACTTTATCACCTTACATAGTTTCTGAGACTCATGAACAGATAATAGAATAACAAGACTTATGGAAAAACAACAATATACGCATCTCTAGCATTTCTTGATGGAAGCCTGGGTATGTAAATTGCATCCCTGTTTAGGAGTGTGTGAATGCTAGAGGTTTTTACCCAACTCCTTCCTATAATTAAATTCTTTCACTAATTAATATGCGGTGTTTAATTTTGAATGTTGTACAATTTGGATGGGACCATGTTGCCGAGCAGCAGATTAATTCGACAAATAAGTAGTATCTGAACATTGTTTCTTAAATCGTTGGTTACATAATGGTGTATGTTTTTGTAATTAGTCAAGCGGGTGGTTCAGTCGCGTAGTAGGTCAATAAATGGTGGGATTTTTAAGCTATAATCAAACCATGCTAAATGCCTATTTCCAAACTAAACAGCTAATTAAAATCACAAGCATAGATGGTTTGGAAAAATTCAAAGTACTTGGCTAAACTTTTTAAAAAATGTAACAATTTTGTGTGGGTTCGATAAATTTTTGCTAATTATAGCCTTCTATGGTATTTTTGTGATACTTTCTACTAGCCAGTCAACAAGGGAAAAGTGGAAAAGTTAACATATTAATCATTTTATTTCTACAATACACAAAATTCACTTACAAATTAAGTAGCAGCAAGAGCAAAATGGAAGAAACCTGCGTTATTCCAAGCAAAAAAATGTGAGTGAATAGCGTCAAAGTCCAGCCAGAGCCAACTATATGATTGTTGTCTTAAAACAATTCTTAAAATTCTTCTAAGGTATGTATATAGTTAAAATCTTATTGCGTTGATCATCTTCTTGCTTCTAAGATAGTAAAAATGGCGTGTAGTAGCCACTAATTAAGGGGATCTTTAATTTTTATCCACTAATTATAATGCTCAGCAAAAATAGCCATTACTAATAGGAAAAAGATAGTTTTACCCTTTCTTCAATGGTTATATTCCCAAAACCTTTTGTAAAAAGAAAGAAGCGATGAAGGTGAAGTATATATCAAGCGCAGTAATGGTAAATGTGAAAAGCCCTCCAAAATCGTCCAAATTTCATCAATAATATGCAAAGACAGAGAATTATCATAATGATGAAGTTGCAGCCAAATTAGCTCGTGGTCAAAGTTCAAAAGAATTTTCTGGATTTCGGTTTCCCTATTAATATATAGCGTAGTAGTTGAGCTTTTCTTTGGCTTTGTTGCTTCAGTCACTAGGTATATAGTATAGGATGTCACTGGGTAAGTAAGCCTTACATTGTACTAACACTAACAAAAGTATTTATGAATGACATCATCCTCAATACTTATTTGCTAAATTCTGTATGTTCAATTTTTTGAGCAGATGTATGAATTTTCAAAATTTCTTTCTTCTTACCTTGTTTTTGTTTCTTTTGAGTTCAAAGATTAAAAGTTAAGGACATGAGTCCTTAAGTTTGACATGCAGATTCAAAATTTAAGGACATGCCGTCCTTAACTTATAGTTTCAAGTTCAAAATTCTTAACTTTGAATTACACGTTCAAAAGTTAAGGACCGACAGTCCTTAACTTTGAGTTCAAAGTTCAAAACTTAAGGACTCTCTGTCCTCAACTTTACAAAAGTTAAGGACAAGAGTCCTTAAGTTTGACATGCAGGTTCAAAAAATAAGGACAGACAGTCCTTAACTTATAGTTTCAAGTTAAAAACTTAAGGACAAGCAGTCCTTAAGTTATTGTTTCAAGTTCAAAACTTAAGGACTGTCTGTCCTTAACTTTGAGTTTCAAGTTCAAAAGTTAAAGACAATAGTCCTTAAGTTTGATTTGCAGGTTAAAAGTTTATGGAAAGACAGTCTNCATTTAAAACACTGGCTTTAAAATAAAGACAGGTGCTGATAGTGGCTATTTGTGGACATCGCCCTCTAAGATACTAGTTACTCTAGCCCATGCTGAGCCCGGGCCCAATTCCAAAAGTTAAAGCTTACAGTATTTGAAATCAGAAGAAATAATTTATTTTCATACTTTGGACTTTTATTGTATTTTAAAAATATATATTCTAATAAGTTTTTGAAGTCCAACTGAGCCTTAGCATGTTAATCATGTTTGACCTGTCAATTTCTTTTTGTTTTCTAATTTTTATTTGAGAAAATTTAGCAAGTGAAACGTTAGATGTAACTTTTAATTTGGTAATTGATTCTACTAATGGAAAAAATCTTATGCACATTATGAGCCCGTTTGGACAAAAAAAATTTCTTTTTTTCGAAATCAGCGTTTATTCATAAAATTTTCAATTTTCACTTGAAGATACATTTTGAAATTTTTCGAAAATTTGAAAAACTTCAAAAAGCTGTTTTTCAAAATTTTAACTCAGATTACTCACAAAACTTCGAAATAACCCAAAATTATATTCATGTCCAAACACA